AGGAAGGAGATGAAATGGGGGCATGATCTGAATATCTGCACCTCAAAAGTTCAGGATGTCCCAGGTCATTTCAGCTGTGTGTAAAAAGGTACCACCTGTATTCAACACTCACAAGGGCTAAACTTTAGTTCTCTGGTGGTCATTTATTTACAATTACACATTGTTGGAAAATGCTACATTTCTCAGGATGTGTTTTACTTCTTTCTCCTCCCTCAGTCTCTTTTGGTCTATGTGCTTTTGTTTGCCATTTTGACAAAACAGTGTGTAATGGATTGGAAAATGCCTTTGCTTTCTTAATACAATTGGAAAAGGGCTGAAGGCTAACAGATTAATGAATCACAATATTGTAAACAGGTCAATGATCTACATTGAATGTTCCAAGAAGCTGTGCTTTAAAAAGTCACAAATCAATGTTATTTCAGAAATTACTAGTTTAATGGTGAATTTTCAAAACTTTTGGGTTCTGATGGTTTGATCCTTCTTCCTATAACCCCATTTGGGCAGATAATTCTATATTTACAAAAACAAAATACATTATTTTTGTCTTTTCAAAATTTAAGAAAGCATACATTAAATAAACTAATTAATGCATTCATCTCCTAACTAGCTATAATGTTTTTTAGAGGACTATTAAGCAATTAAAAAAAAACAAAAAAATGAAAGAATACCAACCATGGCTGTACACACCTGCAATCCCATTATTCATGTCAAGACAGGATAGTGAGTTCAAGGCCAACCTGAGTTATGTAGTAAGAACCTCACTCAAAAAAAAATAAATGAATAAACTTTCTCCATATACACATATATGTATATGAAACTGTAAACATAAAATCAATTTTCTTCCTTTAAACAGTGCATAAGCTTATATGTAAATTTGGAAGTCCCTTCCCACATTACAGATTCTTCAATGCAAATTTGGAATTTCCCCACATCATAAATTCTTCAAGGGCATCTGTGTGAGTCAATCACTTGCTTTTCCATGCTTCTCTTTGGCCTATGCAGAGAGAGGGCACTCACTGTTAAGTGTACTTTGAAGTGGGTAGTCATAGTAACACTGACAGTCTTTTTTTTTTTTTTCCCTTCCCTTTCTATTCCTCTTCCAACGCTCCTCACATCTCAAAGCAGCACACACAAATATAGAAAGAAAGCTGCTTTTTTGTGAGTGGGACACTTTTTGTATACTGGTGTCATTGGAGATAAAAGATAATAGTAGAGATGTGGGCTATTTGCATGGAACGGCCTTGAGCATAAATGTTTGCTAACGCTTTGGGAGTTAGAAAAGGAAAATAATAACTTTAAATAGAAGCTATGAACCATGCAAATGGCAGGAATGACTCTTATATCCAGCACTAAGGAGAAGCCATTTCTTGTTCATCTGTCCATTCATAAGAACGGTAAAGGAAGGCATTAAAAGTACTGCATCACGCAAGCAGCTCCTTTTCAGATGGCTGATGAGAAATTTGCATGGAAGTCACATACCAAGAGTTTGGAAAAGACACCATAAAATACGAACACATTTATGAATACATGCAAAGAAAACCCAGAAGTAGACATCCTCCTATAAGGAACGAGTAAGGGTAGTGGTATTGGGGTCCACAAAGAAGAAAGTACTTTGTATGATGTGCTTTTGCTCACCTAAATAATGACAATAGATCTATGTGCTATTTAAAAAGGTATGGTAGTGAATTTGAGATTTAAAATTTAGAAGCATAAAAATTGAGAGTAGCAGCACTCCAAGATTCAGAAAGGGACAGAATCCAAAAATGTACATCAGAAGCCTTCTTTTATACCCTATTTAAGCATGCTGATTTTACTGACGTTATGTCCAAGATTTTATACATGTCACAAACCATAAAAAGTTTAGGCTACCTTTTCTGTCTGCACACAATTTTTCTATTCTTCAACACTGTCATTTAAAAACAAAGCCTTTGAACTCAAATACAAAAGTTAATGCAAAAAAATCTGAGTATAGCTGAGTGCTGGTGGCTCACGTCTGTAATCCTAGCTACTTAGGAGGCTAAGATGGAGACAATCTTGATTGGAGGCCCAGCCCCAGCAATAGTTTGAGAGACCCTCATTTCTAAAATAACCACAGAAAAATGGACTGGAGGTGTGGCTCAAGCTGTAGAGTTCCTGCTTTGCAAGCATGAAACCCTGAGTTCAAACCCCAATCCCATTTGCACCAATAAATAAATAAATAAATAAATCTGAGTTCAGTCACATCTAAAATAAAAACATGCTATCTTAATACACATACTCCAAAGATATCATGTATTATGCACTTTTGGCACATGCCCTAAGGGAGTTAAAAATTGGGTGGTAAGAAAGGCTGGGGGTGTAGCTCAGTGGCAGAGTGCTTGCCTAGCACACACAAGGCACTTGTTTCAATCCCCAGTACCATAAATAAATAAATAAAATTAAAAATCTATTAAAAAATCTTTGGCCAGGAGTGGTAGCATGTATCTATAATACCAAAACTGAGGAGGCTGAGGCAGGAGGAGCACAAGTTTGAGGCTACCCTGGGAGACATAAAAAGACTGTCTCAACAAAACAAAAAATTGGGTGCCGAGGAAGCAGATCTCAGTCAGCATAATATTCATTTGGTGCTGAGTTTGACTTTAAGTACTGTCTGGGTAATTAAGGTAAGATGTCTTCACTGGACATGGTGACATACACAGAATTATAAGGTTGAGGCAGGAGGATCACGAGTTTGGCCAACTTGGACCCAAATAAATAAATGAAATGAGAAGTCTTTTTAATGTTGAACAGTTAGGCTGGAGGCATGCCAAAAGTGGTAGAATGCCTGCTTTGCAAGCATGAACCCTTGGGTTCAAACCCCAACATTATAAAAAAAAATTTTTTTTTGGTCAAGAGAGTTCTGGTACGTTATAGAAAGCAATAAATACTGCATTGCCTTGCAAGGCAACGAGGAAGTATTTTCATTTATACCTCGAGTATTCCTTTTTAAGTATGTTTGAATTCTAAAGTACATCACATTAAAAACTCAATGCTCTGGGGGGAGGAGGGGCTAAAGAAGAATGATGGAGGGGGTGAATTCAACTATGATATATTGTAAGAACTTCTGTAAATGTCACAATGCACCCCAATACAACAATATCACAATAAAAAAAATTAAAAAAACTCAATGCTCAAAATAAGAACTACCATAAATCAATTTTATATTTGAATAAAATATACAGCAGTGAATTTTTACTAATATGTGTCTTCAGTGACTGGTCTTAAAAAGCAGAGGTTAATGGAACTGTGTATTTTCTGAGTAATTTTTCTGAGCACATACACATTGATGAACTACTTCAGAAATAAAGACCATGAGGAAATTCTAAAAACTTGTGTCCTAATAAATCACTCCATACACCTGCTAGTATTCTAAGGTCAAAGTAAAAAACACTAGCTTCTTCCATTCCTGATTGTGATCATACTTAAACCCCAATTTCTAACAATACCAACAGCTAACTTCTACTGAGAAGAAGCAGCCAAATAAATGAACTGAAATTCCGATAAGCTCCACAATAGATACCGGCCAACAGGTAAAAGATTCTTCTACATTGGAGTAATTTCTTCATTCGATAGTGATGTGGTTAATGAGCAGATAGCACAGAAATACAAGTTTTTAAGGAGAAAAAAAGAGGCTGTGCTTAAGTACAAAAGCCAATTCCTTAGAAAATGAAAAGTATATTCTTATGTTTACCTCCTTTACTGTACAGAATTCCTTTCTGCTATGAGTAAGACACTCACCCCCTCAGGAGATTAGTTCAGCCCGCTCCAACTAACTGCTGTTTTACAAGACGCTTGGCCAATGGTGAGTCTTTCTAGGCCAGCAGTAAAGAGATGTAACATTGTAGTATCTCCCATAAATCCAGGGGATCTCTACTGTTAACCCAACATAAACCATCGCAATTTTGGACACCTGCTGTTTGATTAAAGAGCATGGTCTTAATAAACAAGGAATCTGGGTCACTTCAGTTCTTCTCTTAAATGCTTACTGAGGGCAAATCATGTAATTATTCTGATCTCCACCTTCCTCATCTGTAAAAAGGGCATCACGCTCGGATCACAGAGATGTTAGCCATTACGATCACGCTGCATGCACACAGGCAATATTCAACAAATGCTTATCTTTTCCTAGGGGCTGGATTAGGATGCAGAAAAAGCAAAGTCAGAGTTTCCTGGCAGTGCAGAGCAGTTAAAAGATTTGTACTGATGCGCTTCAAATACAGAGGGGACGGGGGAGGGGGCTTCCCTCACCTCAGGCAAGTTTCTCTCTCCCTTTTCAGAACTTCTACAGCCAGGTAGTTAGCATTTCCAGCATATTTTGTACTTGTATCATTAAATCTTTTAAAACCAGAACGGACACTCTCCCAGGAGTGCTCACATACCTACTCTCCAGCCCAGCAGCAAAAATAGACATCTGTTGACTAACTGGGCCCACTGAGGGGTGCGCGACACTCTGAGGGCTAGTGTGTGACAGAGGCTTTAGCACGTGAAGGCCTCTTCCGGACAAAAGACAACGTAGGAGATGCCCTTCCCTGGCCACCCTCTCCCCTGGTCGTCCTCTCCGGATCTCTCTCCCAGTTGAGAGAGACGCTTGCTGACATTTACGGGTTTGGATACTACTCGTTAAAACACTCCCCCAGGCTGGCGGGGACCGCGGCCACACCTACTCCGTTGCAGGGGCGCCTGGCAGCCCTCCGGGGAGGGAGGGTCACAGGGTCAACCCGGGCTCCGGGCGCCGCCCCTCCGGCCCGGCCGCTCCACACTCGGGCACGTGGGGGGCCGCCTGCACGAGCTGGGCCGGGGTCGCGGAGAAAGGCTGGGCCTGCAGGAGCCCACGCGCGGCCTGGGGACACCCGAGGTAAATAACCCAGCCGTCCCCGGTTCTCTTCTAGGCCGGCTCAGGGACCCAGCGGGAGGCGGAGCTCCGCGGGGGCCGGGTCGGCCCTGCCCGGAAGCGCGCTTCAGTCCCCATCCCCGCCACTCACGGTGCTTGCCGCTGCTCGGGTAGCTCAGCAGCGGAAAGGGCAGCGGGGAGCCCGGCGACGACGGGGTCCTCCAGGCGCGCTGCGGCTGCGGCGGCGGGCGCACGGCGAAGCCCGCGCCTCCATCGCCGGGGTAGAGCAGGAAGAAAGGTGCGGCCGCCGGTGAGCCGGACTCCGACTGCCCCGCCTCGTCCTCTCGGTCCCGAGCGCCGCGCGGCTCCTCCTGCCACCGCTCCTCGCTGCAACTTTGAGCGCCCGCCGCGGGCGGCGGGGACTCGGCCATACTCCCGCCTCCCTCGGCCGCCGCCCCCGACTCGCGTGCGGGTCCGGACTGGGGAGCAGAGTCTCCGCGAGGAGCCGCCGCCCTGTCCCGTCCGCGCCGCCGCCACCACCGCCACCGCCACCTCCACCTCTGTCGCTCGCTTAGACTCCGACGCCCGCCCCACAGCCCGCCCCAGCGGGTCCCGCGGCCGAGGGACCGCCCCGCCGACGGTCCCTCCCGCCGGCCGGGCTGCTACTCGGCGCCCCTAGGGGGCGGCGTCCTCCCGCGGCTCTCGCGTCAGCTCCACCTGGGGGTGGGGGCGGCACCCGCGCGCACGGCGCTGCTGCGGACAGGTGCGTTTGCCACCCCCCCGCCTCCACCCCAGGCTGGAAAGGTGGGGTCCTGCCACATTCGTCGGCACTGAGGTACACACATCTAGGTTGAAAAGGACAACGCTCATTTTTTAAAACGGCACTTCTCCCCCAGCCCCACTCCCCCGGTACAAAATTGTGCCATTTGCCATTCACAGGCTGGAGCTTCAACCGTTGATTGACGGTTTTGATTCGGGAGCACTTTATGTGATAAACCGGAGGAGGATGACTTCCTTCCACGGAACTCTTTTGTTCCCTGACATGTGCGCAGTGTAGAAATCTTGTACTTGCTTTGACTTGGATTCCATAGTTTTCCAGTGCTCCGGATGCTCATCGTCATCATTATTATTAATTATTATTTTTGACAGGTCTGGCTATTGTAGCCCATGCTGGCCTGGAATTTGTGATCTTCCGGTCTCCCTGAGTGCTGGGATAGCAGTCCTCCACTACCGCACCCGGTTCCCATGAGTGCATTTTAAGGCAACAGTTGAGAATATGACACTTTTCTGTTAACAGATTTTAGTTTTCATGCTGCCTGTATTTTGTTAGTAATTGACCACTGTTTCTTCTGTTGCTTTATTTTGAAGATTTGAATCGATGATCACTGATTCAGTAATTCCCAAAGGATTTTTTTTTTTTCAAAGAAAGACTTTCAATTACTATCTTTCCTTCCTCTCTCCCATCCCTCCCTCTCTTTTGATGGTGCTGGGAATCAAACCCAGGGACTTAATTTTTTTTTAGGCGGGACTGGGGATTGAACTCAGGGCCTCATACTTGCTAGGCAGGCACTCTTTCCTCTTGAGCCATTCCGCAGCCCAAGCCCAGAGTCTTGAGTGTGCTAGGCAAGCACTTTACCATTGAGCTTTATCTCCAGCCCCCAATCTTTATAATTTATTCTCAATTCCTAACAGATTAGGTTTGTTCTGGTTGCAAAATGCTGGCATGGAATCCCTGTTGACTCAGTTAAAACTCACTGCTGTATATAACATTTTGACCTTCTTCTTCCAAGTTAAACTTGTCTGGAAAGCAGAGTAAACTTTTTGTTACTGTGCTCTGTAAGTCACTCTTAAGTAAGACTTCTAATACTATGCTTCACCAGGTCTTTTAAACAAAAAGCATTAAAAAGAAAAATGTTTACAAGAAGCTAACTTAAAACAACCTTAGAAATTTTATTAGTATCTTTTAAGTTTCTGGCATTTGTCTGACCTTTTGATCCCAGTTCTGCCTGCTTGAGTGAGGTGTTTGTCCTCTTCTGTAAAATGATTAACTTACTTATTCATAGATGTTGTGTGGGTTAATAGAAATGTAAGTAAAGCCTTTAAAAAATGGTCTAACATAGGGTTAAATAATTATTATCTATATTTCATCATTTTGCCAAAATAAAAAAACTCAGTTGGGGGAAAAAGACTTCTTATATCTTTGAGCATCTTGGAAGTTTTTTGAGCTTTTTCATTTTACTCTATTTTTTTAAGACAGGGTCTTGTTGTGTAGCCCAGGCTGGCCTCCAACTTTCAGTCCTCTTGCCTCAGCCTTAAACTGCTGCTTAAACACCCTGCTCATTTAATCTGTTGATGAGGGTGTTTTGATAAAAGACATTTGTCTTTTAGGAATTGCAAACTGTATTAGTCCTTAAAGAGAAAAACTAAGATTCCAGATACATGGCTTTAATGCTCTGTACGTAACTGGACCTTTTATCTTGTTTTTTCATACAGAATTTTTTTTAAAAAGATTTTTATTTTTGGTGGTGCTGGAGTTTGAACTCAGGGCCTCACACTTGCTAGGCAGGCACTGTACCACTTGAGCTCTGTCAGCTATTTATTTATATTTTTTGGCAGTAGTAAGGTTTGAACTCAGGACCTTGCACTTGTTAGGCACTCTACTACTTGAGATATGGCTCCAGCCTCACATGCAGAAATTCTTAAGGATCATTGTATTATCGTCAGGATCCTTCATAAAGATGTTTTGCAATGTTTCAGTAAAGAATTTGGACTTGACATGTTGGCACACACCTGTAACCCTAGCACTTGGGAGGCTGAGGCAAGAGGATCATGATTTTGAGGTCAGACTGGGCTACATATGGAGAACACGATCTCAAAAAATTTTTTTTGGCAAGAATGTACACTTATGCCATTATATATAAATATCAGTCAGAGGAGCTATCAAGCTAACAAAGTATAAAATGCCAGCTACTTTCTCCTTTAAAAGACAATACTGACAGGTATAGAAACACTGACATGCTATGGAATCTTGCACTGTATTTTTTTGTGTGTGCACATGCTCCTCTACTTTTAAAAAAAGGCTGTTTATATCTTATTGTCATTAAGTGGCAGTATAATGACTACAAAAAATCAGCTGAAATAGTCCTTTAGAATTTACAGGTAAGGCTGTTTAATCAACTTTTTCTTTAAAGATGGATGGTACTCCAAGTTTCTGACACTTTTAGCATTTGGATCAATAACATAATCACAGCTGTGCATTAGCTTTAGTGACGTAATGGGCTGACTCAGCTCCTACACACCATCAAGGAAGCCAAGATTATAAAAACAAGCCTAAACAAGATGTTCCTTCTTGAAAATGTAGAACATTTTCCTGTAATTCTAAAGTGACAAAATATAAGCTCTATAATTAAGAATCAGCTGTTAATTTTCTCCTGCAATAAAGCAGGTGCTTTTAACTATATCTACAGTTTTTGTTATTCACATTTGGCTTCTATTTATTTATTTTTGGTGGCACTGGGGTTTGAACTCAGGGCCTGTGCTTGTCAGGCAGATGCTATACCACTTGAATCATGCTCTAGCCCAGCCATGTTTGTTTTTTAAATATCCTTTGATGATTTTAAGGATATTAAAGATACAGTGTGTTGCAAGGCCTTTTAAGGATTAAAGTGTTAGCTGGCAATGTATTTTTAGTATAAGCTTCTTAGTGCTGTGAATCAAAAAAGATAATCACTTGAGAAGAGCTGATTTTTTTTTTTTTAGTATAATACACAGACCATGAATCTAAAATATGTTTTCTTGAAAAATTTGTTTCACATTGTGTGGTACTTTGGAAAAGTATTATTTGAAAACAAAGTACTCAATTTAAGACTTCATATTAAACTTATGTTAATAAATACAAAAGTTTATTTAAACCAGTTAGTTAATACAAATCCTCAAATGAAGCTCTTGTAAGAATCCACTGTTCTTTACTTCTGATTACTAGGGTTGTTTTTTTTTTTTTTTCAGTACTGGGGCTTGAACTCAGGGCCTTCACCTTGAGCCACCCCCCCCTCTTTTTTTTTTGTGATGGGTATTTTCGAGTACCAGAAAATATAAGTGTCTGGCTGGGTGCCGGTGGGCACACCTGTAATCCTACCTACTCGTGAGGATCGCAGTTCCAAGCCATCCTGGGCAAATAGTTTGAGAGACCCTATCTCTAAAAAACTCATCACAAAAATAGGGCTGATGGAGTGGCTCAAGGTGTAGGTCCCAGTACACTCACACTAGGTTGGGTGACTCACATGAGGTAAGGCACAGGAATCTGCATTTCAAACTTACCAGTGGATTCTTAGGCATTCTAGTTTAAGAAACCTTATGGTAGATCCAAAGCGAAATTAACTCATTCGGATAGTTTTCCTCCCCCACCCAATGGATTAACAATAACTGACACTAAGCACTTAACTACCTGCCAGGTACTTTTCTAAATGTGTTATATGGACTATCTACTTAAATGGCTGTAACAATCTCATATTATTCCATGTGAGGAAAAGAGCAGAGGTTAGGTAGACCAAAGACACATTGTAGATAGTCAAAATGTGCAGAATTTGAACTCATGCTGACTCTGGAGGCCAAGCTCCTCCTAAATGTTAATATAACTATAATATATATATTTATATATATTCTTTCTTTTTTGGAGATTGTCTTCCTATATAGCCTGGGCTCCATAGCTCGACCATATTGCTGTTCCCCTAAAAGCCCCTACAACAAATGGGAGTATCTAAAATAATAGGGATGGGGTATAGTTCAGTGTTAGGGGGCTTGTCTAGCATGCCCAAGGCCCTAGGTTCCATCCCCAGAATAGATTTCCCACAGAAACTTTTCCAGTTTAAAATTTTAGCTGAATCCTACATATTTTGAGGGACCATGTACCATTCAGTGCTCATCATTGTGATCCCTGACATGTGAAACATAATTTCACCTTTCCTGAATTATTTTGGTAGTTAATTTATATAATTTGTTTTCTTGTGGTGTTGGGGATCAAACTCCAGGACCTTGTGCAGTTAGGCAAATGCTCTGTTATATCCCCAACCTTCATGGTGCTTTCCTCCTTCCTGCCTTTTGGCATTAACAGGATTGAACTCAGGCTATACCTCAGTCCATTTGTATACTTTTTCTACACAAAAACTAAAGAGGTGTGTTTATTTAACTCCTTATAGGTAAAAATACAGATAAGAAGTTTGCTTAGAGAAATCAACCCAAAGCCTCAGGCAGCTGGATAACAGTAATTTCACTGGATCACTAACTTGATGTTTTTGCCTTCTTTCATACTTTGTATTTTCCATAGCTGTCCATTTTGTAATTATGCTGTCATAAAACAGGTTGTACTTTGTATTGATGGTTGGTATTAGTAATCTGCAGAAACTGATTTGCGACGCTCTTGAGTTCTCAAAGTAAGTCTCTGAAAAATGAACATGCTGATAATTTATTCATGTTTCCTAACAGTATTTAACACATAGTGCTCTTTTAGTAATTATGAATTTTAGAAGATATAAATTAAATATTAAATCCAGTAACTTGTTTTGCTACTTTTTTTTGCAGTACTGGGGTTTGAACTCAGAGCCGCACCTGCTTGTTAGGCACTCTAGCACTTGAGCCACAACCAGCCCTTTTTCTGTGTTGGGTGTCTTTGAGACAGGCTCTTACAAAGTATTTGCCTAGGCTGGCTTTGAACTTGGATCCTCCTGATCTCTGCTTCCTGTGTAGCTAGTACAGGTGTGAGGCACCACCACCAGGCTCCTCTTCTGCTGTTAACTCACAATCAGACAAAGCCACCTTTTATGTTTCTAATATAGGATAGCACCATCTACATCCTAACTATTCCAATATGAATTAATTGAATATGTGTCAGGTTTAATTTTTTCCACTTTCCTTTTCTTCCTTTAAAACATTTTGTTTTCACCACAACACTATATACACTGCAGGGATTGACACAAAGCCAATTAGTTTTAACATTAACTTCATATCCTCTTTTTGGTCCTGTCTCAGATTTTCTCTCGTGTGCTCACCCAATGCTCCCTTCTCCTAGATTTAGGATATTAATTTTTCAAGGAAAATCCAACACTTAATGATTACTATGTAACAATACCATTCTAAGAGCTTACATACATTACTTCAGTTAATGTAGGTACGACTATTATCCAGGTTTTGGAATGGAGACATCAAGTAACTTTATAAAGTCATAGAAATTAAGTGATAGAGCTAGGTTAGGAACGTGAGTAGTCTAACTATAGTCTGCTCTTAACCACTGTTGCATGGCTTCTCCAAGGTAAGCCTCATACAGATGAAGAAATATTAACTAAAAATCACTTAGGTAAGTAACTGTAATACCTGTACTTCTACTTTGCCAGAAAAGGATGGGGTTTTGGGGTTGGAAGCCAGAAAAGCTTAATAGCTATTTGACCTTGAGAAAGTTAATTCTCTTTACAGTAGTTTCCTCATCTTTAAAATGTGGGTAACAGAATTTACCACAACTGGCTTTTGAGGAATAAGGAAGTAAGTACAAACAAGGTGCTCAGAAAAGTATCTAAGTAGACACTCAGTATTATATTTTCAACCTTTTTTTTTTTTTTAATAAGAAAACAAAATAGGTGTGTGTACTACGCTCTTTGGAAGCAGCTGTAAATCAGAGATTAAGAGACTAAGTACTCAGTTAAGTTAGTTCAGGTTCAAAGGAGGTATCCCTTGGAAAGTTAACCTCCCAGCATCTTCCGTATGTGGTATGGAGCATAGTACCACCTCATAAAGTTACTGTAAGGATTAGTGTTTATCTACCATGTCAAAGATCATTAGAAAATATTTACAATTGGTGTAATTGGAGCATATCTTTTCCTTTTTCCATTTTAAACCAACACTTCTCTTTATTCCTATGCTTTTACCCCAGAATATATGAGATCATGTTAACATTAAACCCACATATTACCTTATTTACCACATGAAGTACCATTATAAAGTTCCTCTTTATTTTTACCACAGAACGTACAAAATCCTTGTTAATATTAAACCTATGTGTTGGTAAGTATCCTGTCCAAGTAATGCAATTGGGTAAATGAAATATGTCAGAACAGTTTTATAGGCTATTTTACAGATAAAATAATTGCTAAAGGACCATATTCTTCGTGTGAAATGCTATGTAAGTGTTGTAAGTTCCAAGTACACTCCACAATTAGTTGGGGAATTTTCCTATGCTAATACTTAACAAAATACTGGAAAACATTTTTTTCAACACCATCTCTTTCTCTAAGCACCTCACACTGTTCCCACAATTCTTAGAATGACTTTAATGTAAGTTACAGGGCAAATAATTGAGCAATAACCCAAATAAATTTCCCTGCTAACAGGAATTTTAAACTTGATTATGTATTATATATTAATACACCTTAGTTAAAAATAAAAATTTATTGATATATTGCCAAATTTTAAGCTAAACAAAACCTTTACTTAAGCTTGATGCTCTTTTTAACTCCTGCACGAATGCCAGATAATTCACCACTATAACGTTGTTCTTCTCTACGAACTTCACGAACCTGTCCTCTTCTTCGAATTTTGGCTCTTCTGAATTTCTCCCTATGTTTTACTCTGGGATTTCGATCAATCTTCTTTCTCCTAGGTGTAAGTCCCCTATTTTTAGCAATCTGATAGGTAATGGCTCTCTTTGCATTTTGTTCTTCAAGAGCCTGCTCTTCAGCACTATTTTCTTCTTTCTTCCTCTTCAACTTTTGCCTGTCTTCTATTTCTTTATAGTATTTCAGTGCAGCTTCATCAAAATCAGAATCACCAGCAAGATCTACAGTAGAAGTGGCAGAAGTCTGTGAAACAGACTTTGGCTTGGCTTTGGTGAGTTTTGCTTTTAGATTCAGTTCTTTCTTTACAGCATCATCCTTAAGTGTGAGTAGATTACGAATTTCAGAGGACAGCTTCTGGTCCACAACCAACAGCTTGTTGATCAGATTTCGGTAAGTAACAAGCCTTTCTATAACAGGATGTCCATGTGCAGGGACTCTCCTGGATTTTAGAATCAAATAAAAACTGATGTTGGAGCAATAGTTCAAGTAGAGGTTATATTTGGTCCTCAGGTATTGGCTTCCTTTTCCAGATGGAATGATCCCTTGCTCCACCAACTCTAACAAGGGTTCAAGCTCATCCTTCACTTCTGTCAACTTGACTTTCAGGTCTTCTATCAGCTCCAAGAGCTCTGGTGATTCCTTTCGTAACATCTTCAGCTTCTCTTTCACTGAAACTTTAGCCAAATCCTTCACGACCCGTGTCTCAGACTCTTCTACCCGAGACACCGGTTTTGCAAAAGCCTCCACCCAAGCAACTCCAAAATCATCCTCTTGCAGGGACTGAGCTAGGCGTAGTTGAATCACCTGTGCCTCCTCCTCCTCCTCTCTTTCCTCCTCCTCTACTTCTTGTTGACTCTGCCGCCCGCGGGATTTGGAACCATAGTCTGTGTCATAGTAAAGTTTTTTCCTCTGACCCCACGACAAACTGGGATCCGTAGGGGCCTCAGTCTCACTCTGCATCGAGCTCCCACCATCTTCATCGCTATCCTCCTCATCCCCCGCACTCTCTCCATCTTGGTCGTTTTCAACGTCAGTATCTAGAGCTAGCACCTCCTCCTCCTCATCGCCATCCTCATCGCCACTTTCTACTTCGCTCCAGCCCTTAGCCAAGGCTGCCCGGGATCGTGCCTCATGGAAATCATCTACCTGATCTTGGTAGTAGCTGGAATTCCCTGGTGAGGTGGCGACCCTAAATCTTCATTTTCGTCTGCGGCCGTGCGTCCTGCCTTGGCTTGCATAGCTGCCCATTGGGCCGCTCCACGTCGCCGGGATCTTTTCACCATGACTCATACGCTGTCTCCGGTTCTCCAGCAACCCCGGGATTTCCGCTACCTCTCACCTCGGGGTACGAACTACACGCACCAGCAACGAGCCGCTTAAAACAGCACTCGGCTCCCCGCCACGCGAGCTTGCAGACACCAGGTAGGCTTCAGGAGTTCCCGCTTCCTTCCGGCCCCCAAGATGCCCTCTGCTTGGTGTGTGAACAAGAATTTCCGGTGACTGAGAGCTCTTTCCCCTGTGCAATTTTAATGCTAGTAGATTTCGGCGCAGTAAAATCTCTCCGGGTAGGAACAACAGAGTGCGGAACTTTCGTTCCTCAAAGTCTTTCCGGAGACTGCTGCACCTAGTCTCGCGAGACTAGGAGTGGCTAGGGGGCTAGAATCGTGGCAGCATCGTGATGGGTCAGTAGTGGGCGCTGTTCCTTTATGCCTACGACGGTTGTGGAACAGAATGATAGCGCGTGTAGGTTTCCTGCTCCGGGTTTGTTTTTAATTATCCACTTCATACTATGGAAGTTAGTCAGGTTGTTTCCTTTCTTACCCAGCTACAGCTAGCTGACGCCACGTTTTGGGTGTGAGGCGGCAGAGCGAGAGCGCAGGCGCGGCCTCCGGACGGGCGTTAGCAGTTCGCACCTTGGTGCCCGCGGGGCCAGTGACCTCTCCACAGAGATTTGTAGAGCCGTGTGACCTGGGGCGGGATGGGAGGCCGAGCCCCGCTGTGTGGTTCGACTTTTCCCCCAGGAACTCCAGTAGGTCGCGGCGGTCTGTTTCCTTGGCCAGGGGAAAAGCCACTGCGCTTTCTTTGTGCTGGAAAAGGTTCGTTTTTCAAGATGTTTGGGAAGTGACACCCTTGTAGCTCTCAAGGGCGAACCCTGTATTTGCTAAAGAATAGATCCCTTATTGTTTAGAATTGAATTGTAATAGTTAATGACTTAAACATTGATTAAGTGCCAAACGCGTGCTTGGCAGTGCGCTAGGCTCCGAGGGAGCTGTGGTGACACTTGGAGACCGTGGCCCGCGAGGACGCGCGCTCACGGAGCGGGACGTGTCACGTTGGGATCGGGATAAGTACTGTGAACGCAAAAACACATACGTCTTTGTACGAGCCAGGCCTCTTAAAAGAGAATTGGTAACTCCTGCCTACACTTGGGAAATTTCTGCTGGGCTCAGGACAGCTGTGAGCTCTTCTTTAGTTGTTTTTTCCTTAGTTCTTCCATAGCACTTAATGGATCTCTGCAATCACTTAGATTTCGATCATTTAGTACAGAGTGTGGCACAGAGTAGATGTTGAAATTTTGTCTGTGTTTTTACCTGTCTTAATTGCTAGATAAAGCTGAGTGAATAAATGATGTATAAAGTCAAGGGACCTAACCTGAACTAGAATGGATTTCTGGAAACATCAATTACAACTTCATACAACTTTATACATGTGCAAACAGGCTTGGGGTTATGACACCAGCAAATCTGGCACAGAAACCAGGGACAGGGGTTACTTACCAGGATCTCACATTTTTGCTGTTATCAGTCCTTTGCCTCCTAATGTGCAGGGTTTCAGACTTCTTCCAGAGGGTATATGGGTGGAATGAAAAAAACCAGGAGCGGAGATTAAAGTGTTTGAAGAAAAGGATGGTAATCAGGAAAGAATTAGTGAAATGGATCTTCAAAGCATTATTAGTGCTGGAAGCATGAAAGGACTGACTGTGATCTTAGAGTAATTCAAGGTTTAAGTTTTCAGACACTGCATATAATGGGTTCAAAGTCAGTATTACGAACCCTTCAAACTAAAGTAATTGGAAGCTGAACATTTATTGCTAAAATTAATGGTGACATACAATTTATTTGTAGAACTCATAGTGTCATTAGGGTAAGAAAAATAATGCATATTCTCATAAAAGTGATATTTTGAAGTAAACTATTTAAAAAAGTGCCCAAAGGGTGTCAAGCATTTTTAAAAGTCACAAGATTTTAGAAAATACAATTTAGGTTATTTTTTAGATGAGAGCTTGATTTTGCCCAGGTTGGCCCAAGACAGCAATCCTGTACCTATTCCTCACCCCTTAGCAGGGATTATGGTTATGTTCCACCACACCAGCTTTTTTGGTTGAGATGGGTTCTTGGTAATTTGCCCAAGTTGGCCTTGAGCTGACACTGTCCCAGTAGCTGGGATTACAGGTGTTCACCACACCTAGCCTCACTGGTACATTTTGACTTTTTTTTTTTTGTGGTACTGGGGTTTGAATTCAGGGCCTACACCTTCAGCCACTTCACTAGCAAACCCTTCCCCTCTTTTTGTGATTTTATTTTTTAAGATAGGGTCTCTCCACTTGTTTGCCAGGGCTGGCTTTGAACTGGGATCCTCCTGATCTCTGCCTCCTGAGTAGCTATGGTTACAGGCATGAGCCACCTGCACCTGGCTTTTACTTGTATTAATACTTTATATCCCTTCATCTATATTTAAAATTCACACAAAAATGAAATGGAAAAACTGCCAATGCCTTATTTCTGTTCCCTATTTTTCCACTTATAATCATGTACTTAGGTACCGTTTGACCCCATGGAAAGATTATCTAACTTTCAGAACTACCAGTAATAGAAATAAGTGAAAAAAATGTTATTGATAATGTAGATGTTCTCCACATATGCAACATGCTAGCTGGTTAGCTTTTGGCATAATTGTTACACATTTGGCATGGATAACACACAGGTTGGTATCTTCAAATAGGTCAACCAGATATCCCTCACTTGCTGTGTTCTGTAAGCATAATATGTGTTGAAGTTCTGAGCAGTTGCTCACACCAGATACTGGAAAGAGAATTTGCAAATCACAAGTTCAGTGAATTTTGTTTATTTGTTTGTTTTTTGGCCCTACTGGGTTTGAACTCAGAGCTTTGAACTTGCTGGGCAAGTGTTCTACCACTTGAGCCATGCCTCCAACCCTTCAGTGAACTTCTGATAGTGTCTGATTTCACTGAGTGGCGCAGAACACTAGACCTGAATTGATGAGGTTTTTCTGTCCCTCCAGTAGAGGGTGCACACTTACTAGCAGCCTTTGTAGCCTGTGGTTTCCTAAGGGCTTTACCACGGGTGGTATGAGCCATGTTATAGAGAACCCCTTACTTAACCCCTTCTTCTCCTACTGGAGGTTCAAGAGCTAGAGGTGGTGCTGACTGGGAATGCAATTCTGCTTACTATCTGCAGCAGAACATTATATAAAAGGCAAACTAGCCAGTTAAGGAGTACATCACCTAGAAAAGATAGAGCTTCATTTTGTGGAAAAGAAGACACACATACAGATTACTAAAATTTAAGGCAATGTGTCTCTTCACCCTGTGCTGTAAGAGATTAGTTTAGAATTTATTTTGAAAATACTGATTAAAATGAAAATGGGATTGTAATTATACCTTTGCTTTAAATGTATAACATTTCCCTTGTATCTAACCATTTTATTTATGGACGTAAACAAATACTAATTGTTCTGTTCATTTTTATTTCAAATTATTTGAGACTTTATAGTCACACTTTGACTAATATGCACATATTATTATAGATAACTTAGAAAACTTTTGTATACTTAAATGGGAGCGATCATATTACTCTAATATTATTTAGTTACCCTAAACATTACACTTTCTATTTACTTAGAATAGAGTTTCAATATTAGTGAATATTCAATGTTGTACTTTAACATCCTAAGATCTTTTTAAGTAAGGACTAGTTACAAGTCATTTCTTCAATTCCAGTAACAACATTATACCATTCCTAAGCCACATATTAGAATTATTTACCACCTAGGAATTTTGTCGAAAATTTGTGTTTCTGAAAACATGAATTAATGGTTTTATCATATCCTAAGCCTATGCCAATTAAAAATAGAAACACTGAGGACTGGAGATGTGGCTCAAGTGGTAGAGCACCTGCTTTGCAAGGATGAAGCCCTGAATTCAAACTTCAGTCCCATCAAAAAAATGAAAACAATAAAAACATTGAGTCCCCAGAGAAAATACACAAATGCTGAATACATTTGACATTTGACTTCTGTATTTATGGCAACTACAATTTATCATTGGCTTGAATCTTTTATTATATCATTGTGATATCTGGCAAGGAGTTAACAAGCTACACAAAATGAAGGCCAACAAGATTTCTTTTTTCCTTACTTTATCTAGGAGATTTTCCTTTTGTGGAAGATAGGGTTCTGTGAAAGACACACTATCTGACACTAGGGTACTTCCTTCATGGTATGTGTTCTATGTGTCAAAAGTATTATCTCACAAAATTTATTTAAAATAATCTCTGTTTCTTCCTAGACTATTGAAATAATAAAAATTATTGGTAGGTAAAATTAAGTGTTCTTTTTATGTGCTAGGTTCTGTCATAAATTCTTTCTTTTTTTTTTTTTGAGACAGTGTCTTGGTTTGTAGGCCACACTGGCCTTGAACTTGTGATCCTTCTGCCTCAGCCTCCCAAGTGTTGTAATTACAGGCTGGCACCACCATGCCTGGAAGCACAGGTTTTTCAAATTTCAAGGTAATTAACATGTAAAAGGTAAAATATTTAATGTATAATTTTTGTCAATTTGAGATAATTGAATGCATTTTACCTCTTATTGTAGTATTGCAGACTAGGTTTGGATGATTGATGTCAAAAGGAGTAGGTTTTTTTTTTTCTTTTAAATGCTTAGTGAGGTAGTATTAATAAAAATAATAATTTGATATGAGAGTAATAATAGGAAAATGTATTCTTGGTGTTAATAATTACCAACTTATTTAGACAAAAGCTATTTTTTAACAGAAAAGAATGGATTATTTTTAGGTATGAGAAAGAAAATGGAAGAGATGAAATACAGTTTTCATCTGCTTTCATTTCCATCAGAAACCACTTACTCTGAGACCAATATGTAATGGATTCTTTTTTCAGATAAGGTCTGTATCTATTTTCAGTTACAAAAATATCCTAAAAGTGATTTGGAAGTAAGATATGAAACTTTGTACTGGCATATGTGATAAATATTTGAAACTTTGTAAGCTTTTATTTTAAAAGGTCTTGGTTTGTAGCCTTAATTACAAAATAAGGAATTTAATGAAATTGTATTATTGCTTTCTTTTCCAAACTCTAATCCAACTAAAAACTGTGTAATCGTTTTTGAAACATTTTTATGAATAGGAAACTTACAGGTATAATTTTTTCCCTTAGGTAAATTCTTTTTCTCTCATCATCTCTCATCCTTTTTTTTCATCAGTTTTTTTTTGTTGTTGTTTTGAGATAAGGTTTCACTGTGTAGGCCAAGCTAGAATGGGACTCATTCATGATCCTCCTGCCTTAGCCTCCCAAGTGCTGGGATTATGGGTATGTACCACCATGCCCTGCTCGTTTCTCTTTCTGTACAGAATAAGTCCTTAGCTTTTAGACTAACATTCAAAGCCTGCCTTTATCTGACCCTAACTTATTTTCTCAGGCTTTCTAGTCCTGGGTAAAACTATACCTTCTCTGTGCCTTCTTCTCTGATATACTTCCTTCCATTAACATTTAATAGCCCCTTTGCTTTCCTAAATTAGGCATTTCTAAACATTTTTTCCATTGTGTTAAGACTAATTATGTATTTATTTTTTTCTGCCAGATATATTACCATTCTTTTCTGTAACCCTTATAATATCTAATATAGTTACTTATATATATTAAATACTGACAATATCTGATCAAATGAGTTAAATTGAGCTCTGTTAGATTTCAATAAGGTATTAGATGTTATCAAGAACAATCTGTTAACTGGGCATTGGTGGCTTACACCTGTAATCCTACCTACTCAGGAGGCAGAG